CCCCAAAACCCCAAAACCCCAAAACCCCAGCCCGATGTCTCAGGTTTAATTTAATATCCCTGGTTGGAAATGGTTGGGCTAAATCCAATAAATTACAGAATCTGTTATGGGAGTCATGACAATTTCAAAAATTATGACCACTTTTATGTAAAAATGTTGACATCATTAAGTTCATACTTGTCCAGAATGTCTTTGATTTGGTTCTTTCAGACGCAACAACCACCTACATATATGCTCTGAAGACTCTGCTTTAAGTCTGGGATCGAAGCTAACCCTTGGATTAGATTTATGAACTCTTGAGGGTTACTTTTCCAATCAGAAAACTCGGAGTTTCCTCAAGAACAGAAATCAAGCTTTTTGATCTTTGTATTTCTCAAAGACTGAGAAAAGTTGAGGACTGAGGGAATCGAGAGTTTACAACAATTTATATTTATCCTTTGAACATGCTTATATGAAGCCATGATTCTCTTGAACTGGGGAGCATTGATTTTAAAGTAAAAGATCTGTATCTCATTCAACACTCTAGGACTGATCTTTGTAATGGACTTCAGGACATTAGAAATGCTCCAAGAGGGATATCAGTTAGAGTTGATGGATAAATAAGTAATCTGTTGAGGATATGAGAGGTCAAGAAAGCCAAAATAGTTTTTATTTTTCGCTTTCACTTGCAACAAATTAAAATTATCAGTAGTTAATGATTCCAAAAAGTGTGTTTTCTCTATAAATTTTTTGTCTAAATAACGGTTAAATTTAAAATTCATATGTGAAACTTTATTTTATAATATATTCATAAAAAGAATCAAGATAATCCAATTCTGCTCGAAAACAGCGGAAATAATAAGCGCTTCTGACAATTTCTTCGACTTGGTTGTTTTCATCGGAAGTCATTCTCTCCACTCTATAATATTAGAGATGTCAAATAAAATTCGATGAAAGTTCAGTTATAGCAATTAAGAGAAGCAACTATTTGTATTTCACTTGGCTTAGATCGGGGAACTGCCAATTAGCAATAAAAGAATATCTTTCAGCCCTAGTATCGTCTGAGGTGGTTTAAAATCAAAATATGAGAGGTTTGTTAAATCCCTCTTGGCATAAAATTCCAACTCCAAATCTTAAATAGTATCACAGAGGACTATTTGAGGATCTACAGTTTGAAGGTTTTGTAAATTACCTGGAGTCTACCAAATTAGGGCCATTTCACTTAATAAAGATCATATACACTTGAATAAAGACTGTAGAAGATTGGACACATTTACCCACAGTTCAAAACTTCCATTAAAAGTGCACCCAAAGGCCACTCAGATATTAGCTTCCTTAGAAACTACAAATGAAGTCTTAAAAGATATACTCTAAGGTACCCTCTTAGGTCTGGGGCTAGCTTACTCAGCAATGCGAGTATTGTCTCTCTTCACTGACTCGACCAAATTCTCCATTTATTATGATAAATTATTATATTTTCTATATTAGCAGAAAGGTGTGGGGTTTTGGGGTTTTGGGGTTTTGGGG